GTTCTCACTGTGCACAGACCATGTCATGCTGTTCCATATACCTCAGAGAGGCTGGAGATCAACCAGAAGGCATTTAATTATCACAAGATTTGTCACAGCTAAATTTAGCAACTGTTGCTCATATCAGTTAATTTGTTTCTGAAGAGAGATAGCAGCATGCATAAACCCTCCCAGTCACTCTCTCCTGACAACATTTTACTGGGAAAAAAATATTTTGATTTTGAGAGTTTGTATTTACGCAACGATTACTGCAGCAATTTATTGGAGAATATATGTTTCACGGTTAAATCAAAAAGTACTGTAAGGTACTCTTTTCATCTGATTTTTTAAAAGAAGCTAGGCATTTTTTACTAGGTCTCCTGAAAATTTATTTATTATCAATCTTTTTCTAGATCGTTTCTCCTTCTAGCTGTCAGAAGCTAGTGGTCCCAACAGTCCTTCATGAGAAATATTTCTTTCATGACACATCCAGGGCAAAAGGGGCAAAATCTCCAAATTGGCAAGCTGAACAGGGACCATCTGAAAAGCTATAAAAAGTAAGAATTTAAATGTTCGACCAATACACCAGGAAAGTTAATATTTTAAGAAGCATGCTCTGCTAAATTGAGACATTTGGTAGCCTCACTCCCAGCTGAATCTGTTTAATAAACCTTCAGAATGTTTAAGATTTCAAATAGGAACAGGAGGAGAGAATCAATTTCTCAGCCAGTTTTTGCTGTCTACATACGAGTTGGCACTGTTAGAGATGTTCACGGCCGTATACAAAATGCTACTGGTGCAAACACAGAGGCATGTGTGCAGTATATTGTCATTGCAAAACTTTCGTAAATTGTTCTACTGGAAAACGCTATTATAAGGTAATATAGGAAAAAACTATTTCAGCAAGCATCACCTTGATAACATCAAAACAGCTTTTGCTTGCTTTCTGAGGTTGAAAGGTATGAGGTGAAAATAATATGCAGTTACTCTGAAACTGTTAAGGGAAACATATTCCATTTTCCTCTACAACAAAAAAAAAAAAAAAAAAAGAGAGGGAACTCAAATCCAGATCAGTGTTAAACTGCACAGATTTAAGATTATTCTAAGACTCTGGGAGTGTAACATTGCAAAGTGTTAATAGCATGCAGATTTAAGGCAAAAGCTCTCTTTTTATCCTTAAATAAGGATGCAAAGCAAAACATTTTTGTAAGTTTGATAAGAAAAGAATCACACTTTGTTCACATGTTATATCTTCCCTTGCTGTCACTGGTTATGAAAAAGGGTGTGGGATGGAGAGGAACTGAACTATTTAAAAAGTTACATGTAGAGATTAAATCAACAGATAGAACCCAAGTTTCTAGTCTCAAATCCATTTACTCATCCTACTTGGCACTTCCTTGCAGGAAAATGGAGATTTGGTTATTTATGTAAAATCTGATTTTTCTTCTTTTATGAAAGTTAGTGTGAGAAGTAGCATTATTGTCAGTACACTGAAGTAATGATCTTGTGGTCAACATGTTCAAATAACCAATGAAAATGCGAAAAAATAAAGAAATTTGGAGCAGAGAGCTCAACAATCTGCTACTGTTGAAATGCAAATTTTCAACCAAATAAATTCATTAGTGTTTACTCTGAAGTGTATGCTATAAAATGCTCCATTGTAAATATAAATTAGATCTGCAGAAAATTAAATAAAATTCATATTTATTGAAGAAACATGCATACACATAACTAATATACCTGTATTAGCTTCTAACTTAAAACTCTTCTATACATAATGTCTTTCATTTGTACTGCATAGTTGTAGATCCTAAAAGAAATATCATAAGTTCAATTGTTTCAAATTCACTGCACTAAACATGAGATATTTTTTAGGGTATGGCATATAATTGTTCCTGTTCCTGTTTTTTTTTTTTTTTTTTTTTTCGTAAAACCTATTGTTTACTGGGGGGAGGTAGTATTTATAACTACAGGAAGTATAACAAAATGATGATAGTCGTAATTACCAAGACTTGAAGTCATATATCACTTGCAAAATAAGGTGATTAACTTGTGATTCTACTACCATTCTCTTACCATTCTATTCCTATTTTCTATTCTTTTTTTTTTTTTTTTTTGATTGAGATAGAAAGGTTTTAACAAGTGGGGAATGTTTCCCATACTTAATGTTCTCCCCACCTTTCCCCAAGCTGCCATGAAAATGCACGTATGAATGGTGACAGTGATCCAAGTAGCCAAAGTTGTAGTTCAAACTAGAAATATTGACATCATCATGAATATGGCGTGGTTTGGGAACCAGGAAAGTCTCCTTTGTACTGGAGAAAAAAATAAGGTTTGTATATCGTAACTTTAACAGAGAAATAAAATCACAGAATCACAGAATGGTTGAGGTTGGAAGGGACCTCTGGAGATCATCTAGTCCAACCTCCCTCCTCAAGCAGGGTCACCTAGAGCATATTGCCCAGGATTGCGTCTAAGCGGGTTTGGAATATCTCCAGGAATAGGGACTCCACAGCCTCTCTGGGCAACCTGTTCCAGTGCTCTGTCACCCTCACAGGAAAGTTGTTTTCTCTCAGGTTCAGATGGAACTGCCTGTATTTCAGTTGGGGCCTGTTGCCTCTTGTCCTGTCGCTGGGCACCACCCAGAAGAGTCTGGCCCCATCCTCTTGACACCCCCCCCCTTCAGATACTTGTACACATTGATCACATCCCCTCTCCGCTTTCTTTTCT